TCTATAGTTCACTTTAAGAAAAATGAAGTGATCTGGTTGAAGGTGTAAATGTAACGTCATGGTAAAGGTTTCAGGACTGAGCTCATGTTCTAATGCTAGCCGCACGAATCCTCCAGACTTGCGCAGAGCTTTGACTAGAAGCATCCTGATCCACAACCAGAATCCCGTAGACACCCAAAAGAAACTTCGATTAAAGATTAACACAGTAACTTCTGCAGTTCTTTAACGGAGATCAGCAAAGTCCAGGAGAAGCATTGTCCTCACCTCTGCTAATGTTGACCAGTGTTGCTGTGGGTTTCATGAGCGACAGTTCTCTGTGGCTGATCAGGCCTGTGGTTTCAGGGGTCAGGTTCACCGCCAGCATGACAAAGTCTGACTCTTTCAGCAAGTCATCCATGTTCTCACGGTAACTCGCCCCGACTGCCTGCTCATCCTCAACACTCCTGAACGAGAAAAGATGAAGCTGACCATTAACATTGTCCTGTTGATTCAATGATTATCTGGTTACAGTACAGATATATCTACATATTGGCATTGTGATAATTATTCATCTTAGAATTGTAAAACATACATTTTTCTACGTTTACTCTTAGAGATTATATATAAAATACATTTAGAACTGTTAAAAACTGTTATGGTCTTGAGATTGGAGATATCACAAGTGTAATAATATCATCAAGATACAGCTACACAGCTAACTGCAGTGGATCATGTGTTTCTCTTCATCTCTAAATGAACTAAATTAACAATTATTCACCAAACTTTCACCTCCTGTTCCTGTTGTAATATAAGATCTTCATGTCGAATCCTCTGGCTCTTTGAGCGATTTTGCAGCCAATGTGTCCCATTCCAATAATCCCTAGAGTGGACCCTGTGACTTCAACTCCCATCAGGCTTTCTGGTATATGGGTGGTCTTGGGGTCCACAGCTATTTGGTGGCCTACAGAAAAGAGGAGCAAAAACCTTCAATCCACAAACCTTTTATCAAAGCCTGCTGCTACCGCGGTTTCTGACACATTATTCACTATTACCAGGTGTGAACAGGTGATTGAAATAGAATAACAGAAGTATTAATTGACACATTTCAAGATGATCTAACTAATACTGTGTTGAATTACATTATTTAAAGCTAGCCTAACATTGCTATTAGCATGAAGTGGGCATGTCTGCAGAACAGAACCCATTTTCAATCAGACAGCTTGAGGTCAGAGGTCAAAGGTCACTTTGAAAATAGACAACAGAGAGCCCACTACAGCCTCTGAAAGACTGAAAGAGGATTATGGGGTGGCCAATCAGATTTCAGGGGTAGTCAGTGCCACACCAGACCAATTGCAATTGTTAGGATTAGTTAACCTTTGACCTCGAGAGTCTTAGGATACATGGTGACATACAGATTTTAAAACCCTTGAGGCAAATTTATGCTTTATGATTTTGACTATATATATATATATATATATATATATAAATAAAACTGACTTGGTTTGACTCACCTTCAACGATCTTCCGTGCAGATGCCAGAAGCAGACCCAGTGCCATATCTGCCGTGGCATCGCTCACCACACCCGGAGTGTTGGTCACCTTCACTCCGAGGCTGTTGATGTACGACACATTCAGGTGGTCGATGCCCACTCCTCCGTTGGCGACCACCTTCAGTGAGGGAAGCAAACTGAGCAGCGAAGGCTCGGATGCAGGACGGGCGTTCCACACGAACATGGCCTGGATTTTAGGGCAGTATAGCTTGGGGTTTTGCATGAAGTCTTTGTAGCAGATGAGTTGGAAGTGCTGTTCCATTATATCAGTGACTTCTGCAAGGTAACCATTTTCGCCCACCTCTGAGAACAGAGCCCATGGTTTGTTGTCCTCCATTGCCTGGAGGGATGAAACACAGACATTAGTAGGGCAGGGTGGGCAGAGTTTATGCACAGTTTGGAGTCAATACAGCACAGACATATTGGGTTAACTTGACCAGCTAGTACCAATTGAGTGTTTTGACCCAGTGTTGGTGTTATTTTTAGCCTATATTACTGTTGGGTGCCTTGATCCAACCCTGTTGGGTGGTTTTCTACCCATTGGCAAAGGGTAAAATTAACTCAGTATTGCATTGGTCCTTCCAAGCAATGTGAGCAGTGTTTTTTAAGGCGTGGTTTTGGAAACAAAATTGCTTTTAATGAAGCAATAATGCAACGTTCTGCAAGGCTGGATTCCTAACCGGGCACAGCCAGAAACTGCCCTGACCCTCAGACCCTCAACAAGCCAAAAAGGTTCCAGTTTCACCACGTGGTGATGAGCTGTGGCCATTTAACCAATACCAGATTTGGTTGTTATAAACTGATGCGTTGAATGATAAGATCAATATCACTCTTACATCTGTACAGCAGTTAAATATGACGCTTAGCTGCAACCAGGAAGTTACTGCTCCCTTTGGGCAGACCCAGGCTAGCTGTTTCCTCCAGTTCTTATGCTAAGCTAAGCTAAGCTTACCGGCTGCTGCTGACTAACACTTCATATTTATCTGACAGAGATAAGAAACAAACTCACAACCTGGTTCTTTATAAATTAAGTGTTCATAAGGCACATATGGCCAGATGGGAAGAGGGCAGAGAGTCAAGAAGTCAAGAGCTGCAAAGAAGAGAAAAAGAAACATATGAATATATAATATAAAGAATAATAATCTAAAGTAAATATTGCGCTTCTATTGTGTATTTTACCAAATGAATGTTTTATTAAACAAGTTAATTCCTTATTATTAATACATACATAATGCAGAGAGACTGGGATAGACGAGGTTAATCTGGCTCTGGAAGTACATCTTTATCAGTATCTTTATCTCAAATGGTTCAAAGCTGCCAGCTATTTATTATATTATTATAGATATTTAAATCTGTGTGCATTCATTCCTGTACTGTGTGTGTGAGTGAGGAGGTGGTGTGTTTGGGGGGGGGGATTCGTGAGTCCTATGACAGAGCACATTACATATGACATCACAACACTGCATTTGTGATTAGTTACCGCTGTCAAAATTAGGACCTGTTGTTACACTACTCTCCAAGATGGATGCCTCAAGTTGCTCAGATCACTTCTCATTGATTACACAGAAAAAAATAATAAATTGTTATCAATAATAACCAATGACACATTTAAAGCTCACATTCAAATAATGAGAAATTCAGTAGGAACTTAAAAAGCCCAGACAGCACTCACAAGTGTTCCTTGTTCCTGGTTTCCCTTTCCCCTGTCCTCTCTTGAACCAGGAAGAACTACTTAGGGAATGTGGAGAATTTCAAAATAAGAGCCCCCTTTTTTTAACAACAACACTGCTACTGCTTCTGTTCCCACTCCCCTTCCTCCTACTACTACTTTATAGGAAAATAATAATAATAATAATAATAATAATAATAATAATAATAATAATAGTTTATATTGGTTTTGTGTGTTTTAAACTAATTATGTTTTAGTAATATATTGTATAACTCTGTATAGTTTGACTCTTAATTTATCTGCACCTCAACAATAATTTAATCATCACACTTCTGTAAAAACATAAAATAAAAGCTGTCCTCAGTCTCCTCCAAGTACACCTTGACTTCTCACCTTGCACTCTTATCCTCCATATCCCCAAGAGTACTCTCATTATAAGCCGATGGCGATGGCATCTGCTAAATGCCTAAACTGGCAATTGCAGATTTCACAATACCTTTTTGTGTAGTTGCAGTTGACGTACAGATCTGTGCATGTTTGTCACTTTAAGAAGCCGGTATGCTTGTGCTGGGCCCCACAGTCTCCCCATGTACCGGACATAGCAGAGACTTTGCATTCTGGTTAAAAAGTTAAGGATAGTAACAATTATCTGTAAAGCTGCATCAGAAATTATTTAAGAGGCAGTCAATAATGACTGCTGATCTGTTGTGCAAAAAATCCTTAAGAGATTCAACATCAAACAGAGGGAAGCAAAATGTCTATGAATTTATGTATGTCATATAAAAATGTGCTTGCAGTGAAAGTCCACAGGTCAAACGAATAAATGATTAACATGAAACTTCTGGGTCAAATAGACCAAAACAAACGTATGGACGCTCAGAGAGAAAATGCATGAAATGATCCAAAAATATTTAATGTATGAACATATAATTTGTTATAAGTTCTCACCTTCAGTTGCAACCTGAGGAGTTTTTCTCAGCCCTGCTGTTTCCTGAGGAGTGGAAACCGAGGGTTAAGAGGGAGGGGACAATGTCTGACTTCCCATTTGTTTTAGATGAAGATTAAACAGAGGGTCTTCTGCACCCCTGTAGCACGGACAGGAGAGGAGGGGAATGATTCATTATGCACAGTGACTGGGCACACACAATTCAGGGTGGTGATTGCACAAGAGTGAGCACAGCGACCAACGGTCAGAAATCTACCCACCATAAAGGACCTGAACAGCAACAACGAGAACAACCTGTTCTGGGTTTATAGAAGTTTAACTTGTTGATTTTTGGCTTCTAACTTTCTACTGACTTTTTCCTCATATCTGCTTGTTGGTGTCATCAATTCAGTGAGGGATTCTGATGAGGAAATTAATTATCCTCAAAGGGACGTTCAGCTACTGTAGCAGCAAATAATAATTAGAATTAGAGGAGCATGTAATGTGAAAAAAGTGCATGCAAACTGGCAGTTATATATATGTATTATTTATATGACCAAGTTTTTTGTGCTAAAAGTATGGATTTGTAAAAGGTAGAAGATAATGCGAGATATGAACAAGGCTAGATAGATATGAATATAATAAGATATGAATTAGGCAAGGCAAATTTATTTATATAGGACATTTCATACCCAAGGCAACCCAAAGTCCATGAGCAAAAGCATAAAAAAACAGGACATAAATGATAAAAACAATAAAAAACAAGCAAGCAAAAGCACAAAAAATAAGTGAATAATAAACCCTTATTATAATGTGGAGTAATATGAAAAACAAAATATATTAATCACATGATACATATGCAAATTATAACAATACAAGAACTTTGGGAGTGAATTATAAAATGCAGATAAGCAAAATTTATGAAATTCATATAAACAAATTCCTTAAGAAGCAATAAAACTAAATGTTTTGCTGGCAATTATTTTGCACCATAACAATGTTATCTTGCTCACCAAGCCACAGTGCAGCAAACATGTGCTCACTCTTTAATGTCACCTATTTAAGAGCCCAAAGTACTCTAATCTACAGTAGGACATGAACGTTATTTGACAAGGGTAACCACTAGGTGGCAGTCATACATTAACATGTGTCTGTGTGGCAGCACAGGGACTTCACATGTGACCTCATCTTCTACTTTGAGTTTTTATATTTGCAGTAGCATATCAACAGAAGCAGCAGACAACAGCAACACTGTGTAAGACACTGGTTCCCAACCTGTTTGATGTGTGATCTACTCCTTGTTACCCGTTACAATATGATGAAAAATGTGCAGGTTATGGCCTTAATGTGCTTTTACAGGACAGAGAAGTAAAAGTATCCTGTTATTCACACGCAAGGGAATTTTTTTTTTTTTCTCTTTTATCATCTCATAGCAAAAGATTGAAGTAGCCTTAAAACACGTGACTATATTGTTGTTATTGTTGTTGTTGTTGTTGTTGTGCTTATTTTTACTTTTCTTGTGAGATTCAAAACAGAAATTTGACCTGGAAGAGGGATTTACTGAATCACATTCTTTGGGTCCAGTGTCTTTTCTTAATTTTAAATGATTCTTTATGAAATTAGGAGAGTTTTTTCTACTTCTTCTTTACAATCTATTATATTTTTTGAATGTAGCCTCTTTATATTCAACTTGAGGTGGTTTGAATTAGTCGTTTATGTACATTTAGAACCTTTGAAATTCCTTTCATTTCATTATTACTTTTCCGTATTTCTCAGCGAAGTTTTTCACTCAAATTATCTGTAAATAAAATCTGATAATTGACTCTGCACCCTCACAGGATCATCTATCCAGCTTTTAACATGCAGCACCTGGATTTGGTAATTTGGTAATAAGTTGTTGTAAAGAGTTATTTGATGTGATTGTCTGTGTGTGTGTGTGTGTGTGTGTGTGTTCCTGCAACAAGCCAGAGCATCAGGGAAGGCCATGTGTGCAAGGCAGCTGCAGATCAGCGGCTTACTTGCTTTTCACTGTTGCATAATCTCACCACTTTAACTTAAAGTATATGTCCTCACCTCCTCCCAGCTCTCTCTTCTCTTTCTTCTCCCTTACCTCTCCACCCCTCTGTCACCTGGGCACTCCCCCAAACTTTTGACCTTTTTCTCATCCACCTCCTCCCATCCTCTCTGGTGCATTCTTTGTCTCTCCACCAGTGGCGGACTCAGGCTGTTTGAAGGGCAAAGGTGAAATAGATAAAAGGGCAGCACCAGCGTGCAGAAAGATGTATTTATGGTTATGCAGCTTAGTCTGGATTAGTATTAGTACCCTCTATAGAAGGTATTTCATCATATTTTATCTATAGGAGCATCAAAGAGAGCACTTTTGCAGCATTTTTTTTCGAACGTTGGATCACTGGAGGGGTGATCGCCTCCCCTCCCCTGCCTCCCCCTCCACTAGTCCACCAGTGCTCTCCTCCATGTAGCTGAGGCTGCAACGTTTTTCCTCCCTCTTTCTATACTGGCCAGGAGTCATTTAGGCTTTCATTAAGCTCAGGTCAGCTCTCCAGCCAAGCTCCAGTTCCATCTGCCGCCACGTCCGACAGCAGGAGGCCTTTTAGCAAAGTGCTGACTCACGTGGTAGACGCAGCAAACATATCTCTGCATCATCACACAGCATTTTGAATATTGTTGACGATGCTCTTCTCTGATCAACAAACACGAGGAGGTCAAGCGGGAGGTTTTTAAGGAAAATACATCACATATTTCATCTAAACATTTGATAAAAGTGCTGCACCATCCCTCTTATTCAACACTATATTATGGCTCAATATGACAGAATTGATTGCATTGCATGTCATGGTCTCATGTTTGCAGACAGGTGAGGACTTATACCTGAGCGGTGGTGTCACATTTGTCATGGTACAGTGCAGAGGAGACACTAAGTGAAAAAGTCCTTAAGTAAACTCTCTATAATTGATTGCTGACGTGAGTCCACAGCCTCATTCTGACTCAGCTTATCGGAAACACAGAGCTCTTTGAAGTCAAGGTGTAGTTGCTTTTCACTCTGCATCATCTGAGCAGATAAAAATAAAACTCCAAAACAATGCAGATGACTTTGCTGTGGGCTTTATAAATGATTTCAGTGCTGTGGTGTCATATCTACATTCTTCTTTCTATTTTCTGGCAGAAGTAAATCGCACTGAAATAAGGAAAGATGAAAAATTCAATTTATTCTGGATTCTATTTATATATATATATAACTATTTTCTCATGCCACATCCAGAGAATAAATAAGATAACAAAATAATACAAATGACCTGTAAAGAAATGAGGCAGGTAAATGCCCACAATGTGACATTTCCCAGCAGTCCTATTTGGTGCCTTGTTTGGGATCTTATCATTTTTCCTGTCTTTTCTATTACCGTTTACTTTGTGGGGGAATTTTTTATTTTATTTTATTTATTTATTTTGCTACAGTTCTCTGTCTGCAATAAATTGTAATCAATAGCTGGCAGGTCTCAAAGCACTGAACATATTTCCAGACCATGGCACCACTATACAGGGGTGAGAGAAGTAGGGAGATTAGGCGGCAGTAGCTCAGTGTGTAGGGGTGGTTGGGCTGGGAACGGAGGGTGGCCAAGTTCAAGTCCAGAACAGACCACAAAAGGTATGGAAGTGTGGACTGGTAGCTGGAGAGTGCCACGTTTCAGCCTCCCTGTGCAGCTGCCGAGAGGTGGCCCTTGAGCCAAGGCAACCTAACCCGAAACCTGCTCATAGGGCGCTGGTAACGCAGCAGCCCCATCACTCCACCATCTCTCCCCTTTGCTGTCCACATGTGCATAAGTAAATAGCAGTTACAACTGTGTAAAAAATAGTACATTACAAGTGAAAGTCCTGTATCTCAAAATGAAAAGTACAAACATATTTACCAGTAAAAGTTATCAGGCAGAAAAATGGCTCTTGTGAGTGGTTATATATTGGGCTATATTAGCATAATCATATTATTTCATTTATTATTACGCTGTCTGAGCAGCATTTTAATGTTGTAGTTGGTGAAGCTAATTTGAACTGTTTTAGTCATAGTTTAATTTGTAAATTCTTCTTATTTCTTTTATATACTGATTGCCACATTTTGGGTGTAAATTCTTATCTGACAAGTAAACTAGTAGCTATAGTGACAGATAAATGTAGTAAGAGTATTAAGTAGAATAATTCCCTCTGAAATGTGAGTGAATATAAGTATTCAAGTAAATACAAGTATTTTACCACATTACTTAATGAAATGTATGTGATTTTAATAATGGAGAAAAGCTTTCAACCATTTCCTCATTACAGAAAGGTCATGTAAGAT